ACCGTGAGCCCGGGCCATGGGGATGATCTCACGCTCGAAAGACCGCTCCATGACGTTCCAGGCGCCTTGGTAAACGACAAAGGGTGATTTTCCGTGGTCGCGAGCGTACTGGTTCGCTTGCGCGACAATCCATGCAGGGGTGTCCGAGATGCCCTGGAACCAATAGGAAACCATGACGAGGTTGCAGAAGTCAACTCACTAGGTACAAAACCTTTCCTTGGACGACAAGGTTGTGCAGACCGTTCATGACCTCCTCCACGCCAGTGTCCCAATCCCACCAATGTACGTACAGGATGTCGATGTATGAGGTGCGCAATTTCTTGAGACTCGCCTCGACGCTGATATGCATTGATTTGATGTTGTTCCCGACGTAGGTCACCTTCTTATCGATGGTGTCGTTACGGGCTTTGTAATTGCTAGTGTACTATATAAATTGGGTTTAAAATGCAGGCCGGCGATGAATGGTATCCACGAGCCTTGGTCGCGATCACAAGCTGATCACGGATATTGCGCTTCTCGGCCCATTCTCCGATGAAACTTTCAGAGCTCTCATCTTGACTAGAGGGATAATACTCTCAGTAAGCGCGGCGTCGCGGGGGGACAAACGCACTAGTTGTTGGCGGTGTCGATAAAATTCCCGCCGTTGTCAAAATACGCATCGAGGAGCTTGAAGCTGGACTCCTTGTCCATCTCTCCCCACCCCAGAACACCCCATTTGTCGCCAATGCTCCCCGCACCGAGTTGGAGAGGCGAGACATGGATTCCGGCGAGCGGCGAAAGAGTCCTATACACACCGAGTTTCGTTGGTGGTGCTGGGGGAGGCTGGAAGAAAGACATGATTTGGAGAGTATTTGGAGAGTCGGGTGTTCGCCTAGGGTGGACGTTCTTTATATTCGTTTAGTAATTAGTAATCCCCCAACTGAATCGTTTACTAATCGTTTTTAATTGTGATGTCGTCGACAGTCCTGGGATTTCGGATGATAAAGCACCCAAAGAAGTGCCGAAGGGTGGGAACCGCATGAAGATGCATTTGAAGAATACAAATAATATACGTGAAAACGGTCCATTGCAACCCGGTACGGTAAAGTATCCGGAATTTGTCAGGCCGATTATGTAAATCGATTCAGCCTTGCAAGTTGAAGTCGAAAGGGAAGAAGTAGTTCACTCCTCAGGCACATGTAAGGAGCAGTTGCGAACCATTCCCAGTGGCGCTTCAAGTTGTCCGCAGTAGGTTGAGCCCTCTTGGGGTTGAAAAAATGGTAGTGGGAAGAGAAACCTGCGCGCACAGACCCAGCCTGGATTCAGGACCTCCCGCTGAGGCCAAGCACCTTTCGAGTCGACTGAAACTGCGCCGTATTTTCGTTCACCATGTAGGCATCGTAATCAGGAGTGTCGACGCAGCCGGAGCGCTGACCTTAAGGGAGAAAGAAGGGTTTCCAATGTATATATTTGTAATATGTATGCATCTAGTGGACTCGATTTCCTCCATTTGATACAGGTATGAATAGGAAGTACATACACGCCTATACGCGCCGACCGCCTCATACACGTGATCGTTCTGTGATCCCATCACTCTCGGGCTGACGTTCCCGCAGTTCCCGCCCCCCTCCTCGAGATTCCCTTACTCTGGGCATCCACATCACCATGACCCCGCTGAATGCACCTCCCGAAGACCGAAGAACTGCGGCCTCAGGGAATTGAGCGACTCACCCCGCGGTGGGTGCCACTAATCAAGGTCAGTCGGTTCGTGCACGGATGATTACAGCATGTGGTGGCTCCATTCTACACAGATTTATCACGCTATCCCCTCCTCCGAACAACAGGCCGGACTCTGGGGTTGTGACTTGGCCGAAATCGGACGCGTCTCCAGGTCTTTCATCGCTTCAACGACCATTCTGGAGTCCCTCGACCGTACAAGCAATCACAACCGTCTTATTTCTGGGCTGGGAGCTTAAACTGTGTGGAACGTGCATCCTACTGTACTGCTACCGCTGCCTGCGCACGCTCTTTACCTCCCAGCTGAACATCTGCCCAAACCATGGACTAATCACGACGGGACTCTACTCTATCGTCTGCCACCCGAGCTATACGGGCGCGGACCTCGCCGGCGTGGAGGCCGCACTTTTCCACCTGCGGCTTGTCGAGTGCTCGGGGCTCGTGGGACCCGCAGAGCTGGGGATGTACAAGGTTGTGCCGATATGGGACGTGGGTCTGAGCGTCGCATTCTCCGCACCCGTGTGCCCATACGGAAAGAAGATCGGATGCTGCGTGAGCGATTTGGACGTGTCCTGGAAAAGATTTTTCCAGGGGTGTTCTGATGCTTAGGCGCGTACATATGTATTTCTACGGTGGGCGGCTCAGTGAATCCATCCAGCGTTTGCACATCCGCCGCAGAACCACGATGCCCGGTGCCACATCTTGCACACATACATCACCGTGAGTTTCTGAACAGGGTTCTTTTAATATGTGCATTCGGGGTTGCATGACAGGGTCGAGGTTGCGAGTTCTTTCGACCACCATCAAGAATCCACTCGTGGTCTGTTTTCGTGATATACCCTCGCTGCTCTGTATTCAAAACACGTCGTTTTCTCGGGATGCATCCTATCTCCACTGTGTACCACTTTGAACGCCAGGACTGCACACATGTATCTATCTCTGAACTCGCACAAGGCGCCTTAGCTTCCCGGGACCTTGCATCCATCGTCTCAAGTATGGTCTTGTCCCCGAAAATTCATGTCAAGTTAAGGGTCTCCTAGAAATGTTTTTGACTGGTTCACAGTGGGCGCTACTATTTGGGACGTGACAGTGGGCGCGCGACGTGCCGCCCATCTTCATTACAGACGCCGCAAGATGTTTACCGCCCGTAAACTGTGCTGTGTTCAGCGAAAAGCCGTTCGACGCCGAGCGCAGACTCGCGAGGCCCTGCCAGAACTGACATCCTTGACGTGCTGTAGTGTTTACCTGCCGCGATGTCGACACTGAAATGTGACTCCGCCGACCTTAGCAAGCGCCTGTCCTCCCCTCGCTATATAATCGCCCAGGGCGGCGAAATCTCACTTCCCCACCCCCCATTTTAATTCTTCAACGCCTCCTTCCGTTCGTTCCAAATCTCCCTCTTCATAATGCTACATTCATTCGGACCCCTTGTGATTGTGGCTCTTGGGGCGCAGGCTGGTACGCTTACAGCTTCATCATTACGTGACCTCATGCTGAACGATTCCCTTCAGCCCACGCTCTTCACGCCACCAATCTCGCTCGACAAACGTCAACGGACTGCGAAACACCTTGCACCACGCTATCCAACGCTGTGACGGTAGGAATCTCTTATGCGTCCACATACCTCGCAGGAACACTTACCTTCATGGCCACAAGCCCGCCGAGTCCGATGGTCTGGCCTCGATATGCACTAGCAGCATCGTGAACGACTACGCCGCCTGTTACGGATGCCTGGTCCAGATCGGTGAACTGAGCCAGGAATCGGCGCAAGAGACTTTTGATTGTGCGTTCCTCTTTCTAAACCTGCAGGAGAATATAGTGACATCGAATGGTGCGGATATAGCTTTCGCGACGGGTTGCCAGGAGATCGGCGACCCTGTTAGTAGTATCACCATCTCTTCCGATGGGAGCACCAGCGGTGGTGCGTCTGGCAATTCCACTGCTCCGGCCGCTGCCTCACCCTCCGCTGTTACAGGCTCATCCTCGGCAGGTTCTTCGGGAACTGCTTCCGGCTCTGCGGGATCTGCTGCTGCTCCCGCAAAAAAAGGGAGCGCCGGACGCACCTCGGCGGGCCTGCTAGGTCTGACCGCCTCTGTCCTCGTTGTCTGTGTTGCGGCCTGGTAATAGTTGCAGTGATGCGGGTGCACTATGTATTGAGGCAGTAATTATACAATGACGGTGGTGGGGATTTTGGCGGGATTGTTTCCTCATCCAATACCTTGCCCATGTATTCATATAATTGGAAAGGAGGGGGTGGGTCCGGTCACAGAGTCACTCATTCGACGTCTATCGGCCCGTCGATTTGTCCCAGAGCTGTCGAAATGAACGACCAAAAATCCAATCGAAAAAAAATGGCCGATGCAGGGTGCAAATTCGCCAAAGCCGATTCTGCCCTTGGTCTATAGCGGATTTCAAAGTCCAGGATACATGTTGTTCCAATAATTTCGCGTAAGCAGTGGCCATGAGAGGTTAAATTAAGGGCACCGTTAAGGCCTTAATTTCCTACAATCTTGCGTAACGCAAGATTTCGACGCTACAGAGGCCCGCACACATTGAATAGAGAACAAGGCAGAAAAAGGTTTTCCGGCGCTATCCCCAGGACCCAACCTGGAGTCGACCCAGGATCTCCCGCTGCAAACCATCGTCGAAGTCTGGGAGGTGGTGCAAGTGCGAACCATTCGCCGCTGGGTCTCATTACCCTACATTGAACTTGACCTGGACCGTGAAAAAGTTCACCCTCTTTGCGAGAAGGTGAATAAGCCAACAGAAAGAGGGGAAAGCGATCTGAGCAATTTAATATTATTCGGGCGGGCGCGAGCCATTCGCCACTGGGTCCTGTGTAGCCTGAGTTAGACATATGTGAGAACTGAATTGAATGGAGCACAAGACAGAAAAAATTCCGCTGCGCAACCAGGACCCAACCTGGAGTCGAACCAGGACCTCCCGCTCCAATCACTCACACCCACTTGTGACGTGGTGCGGGTGCGAACTGGGTTGTTCCCACGCCGTGTAACCTGCTTTGGAGCGCAAAAGTGCGCCACTCTTCCGAGAAATCGAGAACTTGTACGACAATCCATCCAAGACCGAGCCTGGAATCGAACCAGGACTACCCGCGGTACAAGATTCACTGTAGCTGTAACCGCTGTCATAAACCGTGCGGGTGCGAACCGATCGCTACTGGATCTCATTCCCCTGCCATGTAACCTGCTTTCGACCAAGAAAAAAACCGGGATGAGTTCGAGCTCGAAACACGGAATAATGCTAAAAGACCGGTGATGTGGCCAAGACCCAACCTGGAGTCGAACCAGGAACTCTCGCCGCAGAAATACGCAAGATGGCTACCAGGACGGGGTGCGAACCCTTCGCTATTGGGTCTTATCCCCTTGCCGTGTAACCTTCGTTGGACTGAACAAACAACCGGGACGAGTTCAGGTTGTAGACGCGGTATAAAAGGATAAACAGACATTTGAGGTTAGCCCCCAAGACCCACTGGCCTGGAATCAAACCAGGACTTCCCCCTCCAATCGGATATTCACGGTGACGTAGGCGGTGCGGGTGCGAGCCATTCGTACTGGGTCCTATCCTTGTTACCTCGAACCTGTTTCGGAAAACGAAGTGGGATGAGTTGTAATGTCGACCGAGTAAGGAGATCTGAGAAAGAAAAGCATTTCTCCGTAGTCTCTCTTGACAGACACTTTATCAAATCTTGTTCGTTCCTCGCATGATAAAATTTCTCTGGACTTTTGTAAGAGACGTCCGATTTTAGCTTTTACTACCAGTACGGTAGGCCTTCAATTGTCTCGACCGAAAGAAAATTGCAGCTGGAACAAATCAACTACTCGAGACAAAGTAGAGAAACAAATCAACAGGTTCACTAGGACCGAGCCTAGAATCGAACCAGGACTGCCCGCGCAGCGAATTGCATGAGGGAAAGCAAACAAAGCGCGAGCGCGATACCTCTCGCCACTCGGTCTTATCACAGGCGATTCGAGGCGTTCCTTGAGGGATAATTTGGGCTTGGATTTGGTGCCAGCGAGACCAGATTCTGACTCTGAGTTGTGATTTGTCACGGAATATGGGAAGGAAGAGACTCAAATTGTCAAACACCAGCTAAACGGACAGGCCGGGACGTTTCGTTTCGGATGCTGAACTCGTAGTCTCTCTTGACAGACACTTTATCAAATCTTGCTCGTTCCTCACATGATAAAGTCTGTTGGTTACCGCGTCACTTACCCGGTCAGAAAGCAAGAGTCCCTTGGCCCTCCGAGTGAAACTCGATCGTTGTGTAAGTGGTGAACTTGACCAAATTCTGGAAAAAGAGGCCCTGGGGCACAAAAACTGAAAACCAAAGCATGGAGACATGTTGTAGACTGTAGCGTATGGCGGTCAAAATGCACATTTAATCATGCGCTACTTTTTTTTGTGTTTTTCAATTTTCCGCTACTTTCATCATGAAATTTGACACTTTGCGCTACTTTCACGGCTCAAAACGAAAAAATGAATAAGTAGCGCAAAATTGGATTCTGCGCTACTTTCGTTCAAGATCACGCTACTTTTGTTTGACAGGTGTGTGATCCGCTACTTTCGCTTAAAATGATCATCGCGCTACTTTCGTGAGGTTGGAATCCCGCTACCTTTCGTGAGGTTGGAATCCCGCTACTTTTCTTGGACATAATTTTTTTTTTTTTTTTTTTGCGCTACATTCACACAGAATATCTATGGGTCCATGGTACAGTATCCAGTTGTACAGTAAAGGCATAAACTAAGCTGGGTATACAAGAGGCCGGGCCGGGGATACCGGCTGAGTGCCTTGTCGAAATTTGGGGCCCTTGGTACCTGCATACCTGGAGATAGCCTGGCCTCAGGCCTTGGAATTGAGCCAAGGCGAAGAATTAGACTGAAGAAGTAGACTCACTACCAATCGATTTTAGTCAGCACACTTTTCTGTTCCTGAACTGCCTACTGTAGGCTCTGGAGTACACATTGTGTGCCATTCCACATTTTCCTCCTGCCGCCGATTCTCTCTGCCCCCATGTACTTCGTGCTACGTGCTGAGAGGCCCACCTCCACCTCTGCGCTTCTGGGTGGAAGGCATGAAGGACTTGCCTTCCCCACTGCAATGACCTGGTGCTGTGATATCCCAGCAAGCACCACCAGTGGGATGTGACACTGGCAGCCTCCCCCCATTCAAAGAGATTCCCATGCCGCTGGTACCCACATCCCCACACACCAGCACCTCATCTCAGCTCCCATAGCTCCTGCACTTCCGCTGCAGAATGACCACCCAAAGCTCCTCTCAATCAAACATCTGCTGGCTGCCCTGTCCTCTCCATCCCGTTCACCTATCTCGTGTCTATACTGACCTCCAAAGGTGGCAGGAGGCTGCTTCCTCGGTGATAAGCCGTGAAACCAAGTACACATGAATTTTGCGATTTTGCACGATTCAGCGTGTCAACACGCACTGAGGGACCATCAGGGCACTCTGACTGAGTGGTTCAGTCTATTAGCACAAGCTACGAGGTTAACGAGGACTTCTACCGGTACCTTCACAAATGGGGCCACCAGATATCTTAGTTAACTAAGGAAACTTGACGATGGTGGCAGAGAAACTAGGACATACAAGGCCTAAGGCTGCTTGCTAGGACACAAACAGCATACCAAAGAGGTCGTGAGGTCGAGATACCAATTGCTGGCAGGCAACAGTGGGAAGAACCCAATTATTCACGACAAGACTATTTAGACCTGTTTTACCCAAAACTGAGGACGCGTTTGATCACGCATTGGGTCCAGACCGAGTCTGGGGATGACTTGAACAGTAGGACATGATACAGCCGTTTAGCCGCGAGGATAAATCAGAGAGAGAGAGAGAGATTGCGATATTGTGGATGAACCACCAAACCGAACCAGGGACTATGGGGTATCATTGGGAAGGTAGAAGAGTTGTGCAGAAGCTTCAAGACTATTCAGGCCCGGGACTAGAGGCTACAGACGAAGAAGACACTTTCTATCCACTTAATCAGCAATCACATGTGTCGTGTCAAACACCACATGTCTACCATATGTCTCAACAAGACACGACCAATCAGGAGCCAGGGATTAGGACTTGGGTGCCGCGAACCAACGGACATTGTACAGTAATCATCGTGATGTAAAACCATAGGGCAGTAGTATAAAAGGGCAGCAGAAGGAGAGGGCAAGCTAGCACATCTAGGGGCGCTGCACACGTTGTGTCAGCCACTGGAACCGTCGCTCTGATAGCCGTGGAGGTTAGATTGCTTTGAACGAATCGTATACCAGACTCAGAATCAGAACACGGCAATTGATAGAACACGGCAATAGTCAGAACACGGCAAACAGACCCAGAACACTGAACAGAACACTGAAACCGTCGAAAGACACAAAAGCGCAGACTTAACGGTCTTAAAACCTACCCTATACTGTCTCCTTGACGTCCTAGACGTTACTTGTCCAATACAACTTGACTTGACCAGTCAAACCTTGCAAAAGCGCGAGCGACCCTTAGTTAACTAAGCGATCGACCGAGAAACCAGCTGCTATCAAGTCTAATACTTGACTTACACCCCCGAACTTGCACTCTGACTCTCTCTATTGAGGGGTTAGTTGTTGATAGTGTTGTGTGTTGTGTGTGGTTTAGAGTTCATAGCTCTGCTGCATTAGCATTTCGCATTTCGCATTCACACATACCTGAGAGTTAGCGTTTTCATCGGGCTCCAGAACATGGACAGATTGGCCTGAAAAGTGTGTACGATGATAGGACCATCTGCCTGCCCCCACACTCCAAGCCCTGCTATTCATTCTCGCACAGCTTGCTATAGCATGAGTACCGTGTTTGCGACAGGCCCGAGTAGGCTATCGGGCCGGACTGGCCTCTTGTATATGGCGGATCACACACCTGTCAAACAAAAGTAGCGCAGAATCCAATTTTGCGCTACTTATTCATTTTTTTCATTTTGACCCGCGAAAGTAGCGCAAAGTGTCAAACTTCATGATGAAAGTAGCGGAAAATTGAAAAACACAAAAAAAAGTAGCGCATGATTAAATGTGCATTTTGACCGCCATAGTAGCGCATGATGGACTACATGTTCATTGAGGTGTCCGTCATGTCCTGCTCCCTGGGCTTTCCAAGGTTCACGAACCTGTTATATACCGAGCCGGGGTAGACCCGAAGAGTAAATGGCCGAGGGACCGGAGGCTCCGGTATGTCGGAGCGTCGGAGGGCCGGAGGGTCCGGAACGTATACGAAGGAAGATCACAACACCACAGGGGGTCAAGGGTGAGTGGCTACCCTAACCAGCAGGTATCCGATAGAGGAAGACAAGTCGGAGTACCGGAGGGAACCGGAGAGGAAGGAGACGACTCAGTGCAAGGAAAGTGAGCCAAGCAACGTCAATTATCAATCTGACGTACAGGACATATTAAAGACGTATTTATACTAAGTATCTAATTGTATTCCATAAAAGGAAGGAGAGTGGTTCTTAACAATAAGTCAAGTCAGATGGACTGATGAGTAGTCGTATGACAATAAGTGAACAGGAAGGAACACGGATAAACAGGAAACGCTCAGTAATCCTTCATTGCGTAAAAACCCGATGGTACCGGATGGTTCGGAGGCTCCGGTAATATACCGGAGCCTCGGAACCTACCGGAGCTACCGGAAGGTCGACGAGAAGGTTGGGGATGTTGCATGGATATAACAGCATTATGCGTCATCACTGGCAGCTCTTCAGTCGCACTGCAGCTGAATGAATGCATTAGGTTCGGAGTGCACCAACAATTTGCCAGTCATATAATACTCCTGGAACAATTCCTTCAATGGGGAGAGCATTTCAACTCGGTCGTCCAGGTCCTCAGAATATCTGACAAGACCCAAGATGCTCCCACATTACTTTTAAGATTCCAGGATAGTAATTTCCCATCTTCATCCGTCATCTCCTGAGATGTCTATGTACCAACGGCGTGGTGGCCTCCACGGTTACCCCTCGGTGACCTGTCACGTGATCTTTCGCGCGCTTGAACTGCCGGATGTATTGATCATGGTGACCTAAATTAATTATACCTACGTTCCCCTATTGGGACACATCGTTCGGACAGAGTGGAGAGTTGATGGGAAGGAAGGGAAATTTCCTTTCTGACCAGTCTTCCCTCGGTACCTCCCATGTTCAATAATCTCCCTCATTTGAACTGTTTCAAGGTCTCAACTATTTTATTTCCCTACTGTGATTTACTACCATTATTTGGGGTTAAAAAATGAATTTTGAGAGTGACCAAACAAAGATGCCCACTCCATCCATTGGAGATCATTCGGTCCGATCGGACACTCTGTGATGGGTTTCATTCGGTCCGATTGGTCATTT